TATAACCCTACAGCCGCAATGGCCCTATAGCCCTATAGCCATATAGTCCTTATGCCCTATAGCCCAATCGCCCTATAGCCCTATAACAGTATAGCCCTTATAGGCCTATAGCCCTATAGCTCTATTGCCTCGTAGCCGTATAGCCCTATGTTCGTATAGCCCTATAGCCATATAGTCCTATAGCGCTAGCACTATGGTCCTATAGCCGTATAGCCCCATATCCCTACAACCCCAAAAATATTATGATTGGGTTTCCTTCCGGCATCATAAACAAATGTGTGATATATCTGTATATACAAATAAAGTATCGTATCGCAACAAAGATCGTGCGCGCTCTCTTGCGATTTCTTAAGAAACTTGTGGGTACTTAATTCAACATGTTCAGCAAATGCTCCCAAACTGGCTTCGCGCGCGCATGTCGAAATCGTTCGAACGCCTTTGCGCGCGTGCCGTCGCTAGAACCCTTTGGGACAAAAACAAACGAGACGAAGGGCACACGCGCGCGTCGTCGCGCGCGCATGCCGACACCCGTCAAAAACAGTTGGTTTCGTAGCGATGTCAGAACCGAGTGTCCAACAAACATTCAAACCGCGCACAAGGTTTCGCATCATCAGTTTCTAAAAAAAACTTGCGCGCTTTTGCAAATTATTGAGAAAACCATAGGTTTGTTTTCCAACATCTTCATGGAATTATACTAAACGAGCCTTTGGCGCCGCATGCCGACATCATTCGCACGCCCTGGCGAACGGGCACGATCCGTGTCAAATAAAACCATGCGGGCCACTTTCGCGCGTCGGCCGCGCGCGCATGTCGAACTCCTTCTGAAGCCTTCATCACCGACGCGAGGACGCCGTCATCGTCGTCGGCGTGATCAGCATCGGCGCCCGCACTGGCCGCGTCTTCGTCGGTGCGAACATCGCAACCAGCATCGCCACTATAATCATCGCATCTACCGTAGTCGGCGTTGCCATGATACCGCGACCGCCCAACTCGCTGACTCGCAGTGAAGTGCCCGCTGGGATGCGCCCAGCGGTCAGCGCCACCGCGGCCGCGCCGTTGTTTCGCCAAACTAACTGGCCGCTGCGCGCGCGCGTGCTAGGGTTGGCGCGACTGCAGGGATGAACCAGCCAGCGCCAAGCATGCATCGCAATCGCCACCGCAGGGCTTTGCAAACCAAGTTGCGGGTGGGTGGGTAGGATGTTTGCAAGAGCGTGGGATGTGTCAACTCATGGTCAAAATCAATTGCACCATATAGACTGCTCCACATAGATTGACAGCATCGATTGCCGAAAACACGTTGGCGCCATGCTGGCCGTCATTACAAATATGAAAACCCTCCAAAGAAACGCTTTATAAGGAAATTTGCAGCCAGGACAGGGGTGAGAGAACGGCCACGTGCAGCTCGGTGTTTCAAAAAAAGTGGCCATCTGGACCGAAAGTGTAGCTGGCATTGGGGCGAGAGTACGGTTCCTGAGTTCACCGTGAGGAAGTTTCAAGCGAAGCGGCGGGACCGGGCGGTCTAGGGCTCCCCGTCCCCCCTGTGGGATTATGATGTGAATTCTTTTACCTCTGTTAAAACCCGCTAGCGAAATGCTATTGAGGGAATCGACAAAATCAAAATTGCCTTTCCATGACACCCAGAAGCCTGAACCCCGTTAGCAGGCGTAGAACAATCACGCGGCGGCGGCAGCGGGGGGGAGGGGGTGCGGACTTGGGAGGCAACTCTTGAGAGATCATCGTGGGACCGATTAGCGACTGTTCAGCCCGATTAAGAAGTCACTAGGCTGGATTGAGCCAGAGGCTAAGCCAGATTAGATGAGATTGAGCCAGATTGCGCGGGGCCAGGCAGGATCAGGCCGGTTTCCGGCCACGGATACACCAGCGCCGATGCTGAGTGCGAGCCCTCAGGAGTTGGAACCAGCGAGGAGGGCGGAGAGACCCCCAGATCGGGGCGTCGCAAGAAACAATCGTGGCGGCTGGCTGCTCTTCCTGTGCTGGCCTCTGGGAGGCCGTTCCCAACCCTGTGGTCGTCAAAGACGGCTCGGGATGAGCAGCTGTTTCCCGGGCAGGGGTCGAGATCCCCGCGGGACCGCATCTCAAACAAGCCAGGTGCGCTCGCGCCACACCGGACATCCCATCCCTCGCTCCCATGTCTTCCCATTGCGATGCTGCTTTCTCTACCCGCGGACGCGTGTCATGGCCGGCCTGGAACTCCAACAGAAAGACACCATCGTGCTCTGCGAAATTCGGCGGTGGACAAACCTCCTCCCCTTAGTGAAAACGGCCTGGGACCGAAACCGACGGACCTGGACCCGCAAAAATGACGGCCGCGACGCCCTGTGGCGAACCGAAAACGGCCAATTCCTTAGGAGGTCTGTCCACCCCCGAGCAATCAGACGGGAGCTGCGTACAGTCGAAGAAGAAGAAGAAGAAGAGGAGACGGCGGGTGAGCAGGAGGATGAGCGGGACGAAAAGGAGAGGGACATAGAAGGAGGACGAG